CTCTGATTTAGACCCTTACAGACATTTGAGTCTAGAAAGAGGGTTAAGTGAGTCCTGAAGTCCATTATAAACTGAAAAGATTCCTTGATCCTGCAGAAGTCTAGAAAATCTTGTGCATTGTTTTATGGTAGTAAACCACACCCAGAAGAGAGCAGTATAGAGAAAACACCAGATGGTTTGTCTTGATGTGAGATTGGAAGGCAAACTGAGGCAGTGGGTGGCCCCAAAAACCGGCTGAGTAAATCCTGCTACATTCCTCAATCACATACCATATGTACCATTCCCCTTTCATATTCCCTCCCAATGGTTATCTGGAATCCAGATGGAAAAAGCACCAATGAATACAAATTAGTCAGTTGTGGCACTTTTTTTATTAACTTTACCCCAAAGTTGGCTACAAGTGGTTGCTGAGACTGATGAAAATAGAGCTCCTAAGTCTTTTCCATAAACCTCACCTTCCCATTTTGGAGCATTGTTACCTGTTTGGCTTGACATTAGTCTAGTCTAAGGGCAAACTTCTGTTCGCCTATCTGTATGTAAAATCTCTTCACTGCTTTGCTTTCTCCTCTCATCGCGCAGAACTCCTATTGATGAGAGTGGCAGATCTGCGCTTGTTGAAATGACAGAATATTAGAGATGTGATCCATCATGCAGATCTTTGCACAGAATGTTTGCCTTAATTAGGTTTTCTTAAAATTAATCTATAATAAACTGCATTTACTAACAGGATATTTATTCCAAAAAATGGTTTCCTGTAACGTAGTGACTGTATCTTTAGATCAGACATTTGTAAAATAGACTATTTGGGTAATAAGAATTTAATGAAACTTCCTTCTCCCGTCCCCTCCTTTGGAGGACATTGAATTCAACAGGCTTCACTCTGACAATGACTGATGTCTCACAAGAGATGATTTGCATGGAAAACGCTGGGGTCTCATTTTAGTTCCCATGACAAAACAGAACAGTGATTTTTATCATTTCTGATCCATTTATATTCGCCTGGAGCTATGTGACACAATGGTAATTCTTGTGAATGCAGCAATTCATCAGCAGCAGTTCATCCTCTACATAAGTGGCATAACTTTGACTGCTATGATAGGCTATGGGTGTGACAATACCGTATGTGTAAACCTGCTTCACTAGGGGAAAGGTCTAACTGATCACCTATTTCCTAGAAAGAGTGATTATTTTGTACAAGATGGTTATTTAGGTGGAAAAGAGGATGCACAGACCTGAAAACAATGCCTTAATCACTTTGCCAATCTAGTAATAGGCGAACTTTTTATATTACAATCTTTCTCAGTGGCATTTGTTCCTTCTGCCTAGTAAGACACCGAGTTAGCAAATTACTGCTATGCAATTCTTCTCATTCTAAGACACAGCAACTCGTAGGAGCTTCTAGATCTGGTTAAAACCTTGTCTGGTTCAGACAGTGTCTGGATTCAAGTTTACATGTGAAATCTGTTATAGCACGAGTTAAAAAGACCCACCTCGCGTGAACCAACCAACCAAACAAAAAGTTGCAGAAAGGTCAAGCAATGCTAACGTATAGCTTCTAAAAAGAGAGCTCATTAAATACACTTGCATGTTAAATTTATTATCCACACAGGCATTTTTAAAAATGTAAATAATCAGCCCCTGGATCAGGGGTCAGCAACCTTTCAGAAGTGGTGTGCCGAGTCTTCATTTATTCACTTTAATTTAAGGTTTCATGTGCCAGTAATACATTTTAACGTTTTTAGAAGGTATCTCTCTATAAATCTATATTATACAACTAAACTATTATTGTATATAAAGTAAATAAGGTTTTTAAAATGTTTAAGAAGCTTCATTTAAAATTAAATTAAAAAGCAGAGCCCACCGGATTGGTGGCCAGGACCCGGGCAGTGTGAGTGCCACTGAAAATCAGCTCGTATGCCACCTTTGGCACACATGCCATAGGTTGCCTACCCCTGGCCTGGATTATAAAGATTTATTTTTTTAAAGGTCTAGTTTCTAAAAGTCTCTTAGTGCAGCTCCCTCTTTACTGACAGTTACTCTTCTGTAACAGACAAATTTCTGGATGGGCAAATCATTCTTAACAACCCAAATAAATTTGTTAGTTTCTAAGGTGCCACAAGGACTCCTTGTTGTTTTTTCTTAACAACCCTGTTACTGAAGTTAGATTTTAGGCAAGAGGTAAAATTTTCAAATGCACTGAAGTGAATTGAGCTCCATTTTCAAAAGTGACTTAAGGCCAGATTTTAAAAGGTATTAGAAGCAGATAGTGGGATTTGCAAAACTGCCTAAGAATCTAATTCCCACTGAAATCAATGAGTGTTGGGTGCTAAGTCCCAGATCCTCAAAAGTATTTAGGTGCCTGGGTCCCATAGGAGTTAGGCATCTAAATAGTTGTGAGGATCTGGGCCTTAGGTACTTCTGAAAATGACACTTAAGCTCTTATGCCACTTAGGCACTTCTGAAAATATTACCCAGGGTTCATTTGTGTGCTGTCTGTAACCTACTGTATCCGACTTCTCAGAAAGAACCAGACTGGAAGGCCAATATAGACAAATATTCATATTTCAAGCCATTAATGGTTACAGGTCCTGCTTCTCTTCTAAAAGGATTTTTTTAAAGTAATAAACTTTCAGAGGAGAATAAAAGCAGTCAGGTTCCTATTTTGACCAGTACAGAACACCAATCTAATGGGTCTTCCTAAAGCACGAATGCCTAATCATGTGCTAATGTGAGTGGATGCTTCTGAAGTACAGCTTTTATTTCCACTGGACACATGCAGGGCAAAGGAGGCAACCTTCTTGATTTCAATAATCTCGCTCTCCCCCGTTTTGAAAAACACAAGCAGAATTATAATGTTGAAATAACTTTTCTGCTCTCTCGCTCTCTTGGTGGTTTAGCAGACTGGTATAATAACTTACTATATGCACCGGATAATGCCACCGACAACAGTTATGACTGATGGGGGGATGAAGGCTTGTCCTTGTTTGGGTTTTTTTGTGCTGCTGTTTACTGTTCTTGAGAATTAAGACCCTATTATTATTAAATCTGACGTTCAATTCTATTACCTTATGCACATGCTTTAAATATCTCTGTTTCCCAAATGCTCACAAACACCTTGTTTCTTTTAAATCTTCTCTATCATTAGGGACAATTGGAGTTTTAACAGTATCAGTTTCTCCCCCATATAGTAATGGGGTTCACTTATCTTACCCATAAGCACTAAAATTCGTCTGTAAAATTATTATCCTACCTTGGGCACAAACAAACATGTGGGTGGTTTCACTGCTTAATGTAGCCCCTGCTCTAAGGAATGGGAAAAGCAAGAGCAGTGGATGTCAAGAGAGAGGTATGTTAGCAGAGCTATATGGGGAAGCATTCCCAGCTATCTATGCTTGTCATTTGCTTTGCTCAAATCATGCGGGTTATTAGTCCTTCCCTTTCGTATGCACCAAAATAGCTCAAAAGTATTTATTGTGAATAAAAGCCTGATTTTACAGATTCTAGATCTTCTGACTGTCAGTCATAGCCCTTGCAAATTGCCTTCCTCCCTCCACCCACATCTTCAGGAGTAAAGTTAGGTGAAATTGTCAGACAATTTATTTATTTATTTTTTTGCCAACAATTGTAGATTTGAGTCAACTGAAACATTTTGCCAATTCATGTTGAACTCTTTTAGCTGAAAAAATAAACTCCAAAGACGTCAAAACATTTCATCTCAGCATTTTGAAAATGAAATGATGCCACTTTGCATTTCGAATTTTACTTCAATATTATTTTTAAAAAATTAAAAAAGGAAATACAAAACCTCAAACAAAATGTTTCCTTTTAGGTCAAACCTGAAACAATTGTTTTTGATGCTTTTGGTTCCTCCACCAAACTGGAAAAAAAAAGAAAAAAAAAAAAAGAAGTCCATTAACGGTCCCTGGTTTGCCACAGTGTGAACTGACTATTACAGGATTTCTCAAACCAGGTTTTAATAGAGCCACCTCCCATTTTTTACCACAGACAACTTCCCTTTTCCCATCCCTGTGGCGCATTAGGAAAGGATCTAGTGCATTTTTAATGTCTTTTAGCAGCTAGAAAGAAGAAGGAACTAGCAGGATGTGACCCACCAGCTCTGCAGACCAGTGCCAACTACTTTCCAGACCACTAGAAGTCCTTGGAACACAGCTAGAGACCTCCACACTATTATAATTAGTTATTAATACTATTTACTCTAAAATGCAAAACAATACATTATTCAGCAGCTGTAAAAACTTTATGTGAAACCTCACAGAAATTGCTTAGACAAGCTGTCCTTGAAGCTCATTAGTATTGGGCCTCAATAAGACCCCAGTCAAGGACTGGAAGATTTGGACTGCTATTTCTATTCCTTAATTCTTCCATGTTTGCTCTGGTTGCCAGTGCAACAATGCTCAGTATTTATATTAGGAGGTTTTGATTTTTGCCTTGTTGAAGGCATTCTGGCTCCTGGATATTCTGCCTGAGCTGGGATTTACTTTCTGTCTCCCTCCCGTTCCCTGCAGTTTGCCTCCTGCTGACAGATGATCTTTCCCTAGCTGAGGTATTTTTCTCCAAGTGTGAAATTGATTCCAGATGACAACTGAGTGTGTCAATCACTTTCCACTTTTGTCATCTTCAAAGACTCCTCTCCCCCTTATTTAAATTGTATTTTCATAATTGAAAATTGCTTTCAGATGACTTAATGAATTCTTGCATTTTATTATTCTCTGAAAGGAAAGGAAATACTGCAGGATTCAAATGAAAGCACTTTTATAGGGAAGCGTTTGCATCAAGCTACTTGAAAACAACAACAAAAATGTCTGCATCATATATTTGTTTACAAACACATACAACAAAACAGGAAATTGGAGGAGTGGTAGAAAAAGCATCTTTCCCCCATGCAATATATATTTTTTAAACAAGTATTAAATTATATTTTGGTGAGGATATTTTTTAAAGCTTCTGAATACTTGACATTACCAGCAACTTCAAAATAGCTAATGTGGTCCATGGATCAGCAGAGATTTGTATGCTTTCCAGTTCATGTAGTCTTGCATCTTTTTCTCCAGCATCTCTTTAGAAGGATAAGGCTGAACCTGGAAAACATAAATGCTGATGGTAAAATATACTGTGTAATCTCTATTAGCTATCCACAGCTAATCTTATGACAGTAAGTAGAGTGAGGCATACACTGCTTTCATATGACTACACAGCAGTATCATTGATCACTGGGGCTTGAAATGCAGACTTGCAAAGCAGTAGGAAGATAAATACAGATGGGCTATTAAACCATCCAAAAGCTTTGCATTATAGTGATTGTTGTGCAAAAGAGTTTTCCCAAATACATATGCAGTACACCAGTGCATTATGGGAATATTTAGGATTATATATTGAATTGAGCTACTGTTTCTTTATATTCTATTTATATTGGATACCTAGTGGGTATCCAAACTTGAAACTAAGTATCTCTCTTCAACTGAATGGAGGTCTCACAATGTTTCAGGATGCTGCTTTCATTTTTTTATACAGCCAGACAGTGAGATGACATGTTCAAATAGACTGAGCATGTGGCTAAGAGCCAGGAACTCCTGAGTTCTAATCCTGGATCTCAGAGCAATTTTGTGGGGCCCATTCTCTGCTCACGTTTACATGTGAATCTGGAATAACTCCACTAAGGGCAATGGAGTTAACACCACTTTTATCCCGGTATAAATGTTGTCAGAATCAGGACCACCGTGTTTGTCTAGGCAAGACACCTTATCGTCGCCTTGAGACAGATTCTGATCTCACTTACACTGATTTTCCAGCACTATGGGACGGATTCTCAGCTGCGGGGGCACTTTGCCAATGAAGAACTGACATAGTGTAGTAAAGCTTCACCACACCCCCTCCCAAGCCAAAACTGCATAGCTGCAACCTAGTGGTGGCACAGATGTGTCGTTATGAAATTCCCCGATGCCAAGGAAATTCTCTATAGGCGATTTGTGGCTGGACTATGACCCCCTTACACACAATGGGGCTATTACTGGGCTTGAAAATATAGCCCTGGAACTGTTTAGGCTTTGGTGGACTTACTCCTGGTTTAAATTCATTTCAAAGCCAGGCCTTGTCCAAGTTTCCACATCTATAGTAAAGGGAACACAAATATTTATCTACCTCACAAGGACGTCATGTGGATAGATTAAGTAAGAGCACACTGAAACCACAGAGCCCTGTGGAAGTGCTATTATTATGTTGCAATGTAATCTACTACTACCCAAATAGCTGAAAACAATTAGTTGATGGATTTTCAGATCTGGCAATGCATATCTGGGCCACTGCATTTACAGCACAGAAAATGACTCACTTGAGTAATCTGCGGACTAGGTTCAAGTGAATACATCTTGTAGGGTTACCATA